GAATCGTCATTAGCTATGTCATCGCACGTGATCGGCTGATAGCCACTGATTGGGCAGCTTGCGTCATTGGCATGATCACGCCTGTTAAGTAACAATTGTACCATCAATCTCAATGAGGTCCACCGTCCACCGCCCCCCACAACATGCTGGCTTGGTCATGACACCGGGTGAAGGTGGAGGGGAAAGACAGAGTGCGATGGATGCAGCGCAAGTCGACTCTCGCTACAATCTGATTCATGCGCAAGTTGCCGAGCTTGCTTACAGCCTGCTTTTCAGTCAGGATGACTTTCACGTTTTTAATAAATTATCTCTTAGCCAATTGTTTTCTTATTCTTTGCCCTATTGGTGTCTCGAAAACCAGTCGAATAAGCATACGCTTCGTGTGAATTCCACGTACAAGGACGTACTGTAACACTGTCGGAAGATCAGGTAAGCCTTAAGAAAGTCGAGGCTTTCCAAAATACAACAATTTGCGCCGAATTAACGATAACTTGCAGCTGCACTGCACCGTCTTAGAGGAAATGCTTACTGCCGTGCTACATCAACAAGAGATAAAGTACTGATACATTGTATGCATTTAAGCCCAATTTTCGGGTCTTTATGTGTGAGCAAAGAGGATCCTGATGCTTTCCTTCCCCAATCCGAATACATATGTAGACATGTGTTTTAAAACGGCACCAACACATATAGGACCGCAAACGAACCGGGTGCAAAGAGCTACCGGATCTCGCATACGTGGGAATGCCGTAGAGGCCACATCAAGGAGTTATTAATTCGGACTCTTAGTCCTTGGAAGGACCTACCGTATTTTCCGCACTATAGGGCGTGTGATATTCATCACGTCAATGTCATATTCGGATTTTACTTGCTACCAACTGTGTGTTAGGACTTGGTCCACTTGGCCGAAGCATGTGTCCTTAAGCCCGCTTAGTCATCCACTGATGGTCCATGTTCTTTGTTTCATCCTGCCCACGTGCCTTGTCACGTGTTCTGACCCCTTGACCTCTTCCCATTCGCTGACACACTACGATCTTTATTGCCGTGTGCTTATTCACCACTCCCCACGCTCTTTGCTCCTTGCATCGTGTTCTTATTCGCCGCCTGGTTCGTGGACTACTGCCCCATTAGTTATTCCCTTATAAACTGGCAGCAACGCGTCTGCGTCATTCCCGACTGTTCGTCTAAGCACCTTGAATGTATGTCCACCCTCCTTTTGATTTCTACCTCGCATTTTTTACCTATCATGCATTGTTAACCTTACTGTTTATTTCTATAGAACCATATAAAGAATAACCGAGTTATCTGACTGTCCTTTGACATAACTTCTGACCTTGGGTGCGTCTATTCAGGTGACGAAACGCAGCACTGCATTATTAACAGTTATTCGAGCTGCAAAACGAAAAGGCCCACGGTTCTTACAGTTATTCCAGTTGCAAAACGAATAGAAAAACAGTTCTAACAGTTATTCGAGTGGCTCCTCGGCAGTTCTAACAGGGCGCATGCACATTAACCCTCAACCTTGTTTAACTTTTCTTCGTAATATTTTGGCAGTCGCTGCGAGATGGTGGTTTCTTGTGCGGGTGGATAGATAAAGTCTTTTCATAAAACCAAAACACCAAGAAGGACCGCCTTGAAAGGCATTAATCATCATGCTCGTGTCATTGGAATGTTGAATTCTCGCGCAGCTGCCCTATTCTCATGTTCTACTGCATGATTGACTGATAACCTTGAGTTTTAAGTTCGCGTCGTGAGCGTGCCTCTTGACAGGTGGCATTCAAGAGTCCATTCACACGCACTGTAATAATATGGTAAAGCAGTATATAGCACGCCACAACGCGCCTGACAACGGATTAACGTAGTGCCGTGTACCACATAAAATATCACCTCGCGGTCAGTAAGCAGAATTAATCGATATATAAGGCACTCCATGTTATAAGGCGCACTGTCACTTTTTTGAGAAAATTAAAGGCTTTTAAGTGCGCCTTATAGTCCAGAAAATACGGTAGTTATGCTGTCAGTGGGTAGCCTTCCCTGACACGAATCTGAGCGTGTTCTGATGTGGGATGACAACCCATTGTCAGTCTCTCTCTCTTCCATACATCAGCCTAGACCGATCAAGAAAGATGACACGCACTAGATTAGAAGGTACTTGTGTCAGCAAGATATGCACTCAGCTAGTATAG